GGGCTTGGAAGATCGCAGTAGTTAGGGTTCAACTGGCTTAGCCTTAACCACTTTGCGAGAATGCCATAATTAATTGTCATCGGGGATTACTATGGGGCATCATTTGGTTTCATATAGCGGGCATACCCTTCTGCCATCCTATTTTTTCGCCGAGCACTGCAACGCTTAGCTTATTCACAATAACGCCTTTGATCCACCGGCGAAGGAGCTCTAGTGTACGGAAAGGTTAACTTAAGAGCTTGATCTGTTAAATCTGAAAAGCAAACTATTGACAGCAATAATATAACAGGCGAACGAGCATCAAAAGCCCATTCAGAATTGTTTTGAAGTCGATGAACGGGAATTAAGAAATTCATATGGCTTCAAGCTTTGCATATAGGCTGCTGAAGGCATAAACTAGTCTGAATTTTGAGCATGGCGCCTGGAGCTAGCCGTGGTTATTTTTTATTGGTCAAAAGGTTGGGTGAAGGGCGGCTGCACGGAAAGGAGGGCTTGACCTTCACGGGTCGCGCTTTTGAAAGCGGTCTTTGGCTCGTTTCTGATCGTCATGTCCCGGCGTGATCTATGTAGCACCGTGCATCTATCGGTGACCGTTGACACAAAGGCGTTGGAGAAAATTTGTGCCTATCTATGCAATGCCGACACGACTGCTTCCAGTCGTTATTTCGTGGGCATTGTAGGAGATGCGGCCGAATTCGGCAGTTGGAATCCGGAAAAGGGTGTTATATGCAAGTTTGAAATTCAGCAGAGCAAGGGGTAAAATCGGAGAATGTTTTTTGACCAGTATAGAATCGAGGTTTGGGGTTGTAGCGTGCCCGTTGAGAAGTTTCCGCCATTACTTCAATTCCGATATTTTGTTGCCGAGTGGCGCACTTGCCCCGAAGATGAGAATGCACAAAGGAAAATGGTAGTTCTTGCGTGGGAATCACGAATTAAACCCAGGACTTTTGAAGTTGCAAGTAAGAGTTGATATATTTGCCACGCACATTTTAGGCTTCCTGCGCAGCCGTGATGACTACAATTTTGCAGTCAAATTTGGACATTATGGTAAGAACTGATGCGCGTTTTCATTCCTTTAGAAAATGGTGTATATCTCCAAAGAGGCTATTTAATTTCCCATTCGGAATTGCGAATCAGACTATCGGGCCTTGCTCTTAAATTGTCTAAAAACGCTATACCCGGGTTGTCATCGTCAACGCGTGATCTCACTCAGTTATGCGGAAGACGTGTTTATATTGCCTGCAAACAGTCACTCGTTGAAGAAAATGGAGTCCTTAATGCTCTGGAGGGAGGTAAGATAAACTCGTGTGCATTTTTTTAAAATTCAAACCTAGGCTTCCTTTCTCGGTTTATTTCAGAGTTCATCTCCGCTGCCTTAACTTTGTCTTATTTCGTAAAAAATAAGTAAGTGTTACACAACCCATACCAGTTGGAGAACATAAATATTTTGTTCAGCTCGGAACTTATCTTAACCTTAATAAATTAACAAGCGCTCACCCTTATACTTTGCAGAATTATTAGACTTTCCACTTTCACTTAGCATCTAACCACAAGGCAGTGATGGCAAGCAAACCTATTTAGTGGCGGTTCACGCTGGCCATGCCACTATGTCGTCATTGGTACTTGCAGCATTTTATAAGGCAGTCGGTGCGCTAGACCTCAGCCTTCCGTTTCCTGGCAACATCTGAGCCGAAATGCTACAGGAGACAACCTCGAATAAGGAATCCGAGCGGCTGTTGGGGATCGGCCTGCATTTAAAATTCCCAAGACTCCTCATGCAAAATGTCTACTCACGGTTCGCCACAAAAACTCGTGCTTACCGTGTGCATCCGTCCGTTCAACGCTCTATGGGTGTGGAGGCTGGGCTTT